AAGGCTGTGTTGTAGAGCTGCTGTCAGTGGTGGTTGTGAATTTTTAAAGCTCTGATAAAAATAGACTTTTTATCATCCGACATAAGTCTCCATGACAATTATTACAACAATCCCTGCCAGCTCCGGACCAGTCTTACAATCAGGGGAATAATGATCACACTGTCAGTTTATCACAAGCAAGAAAGAGCAGATCCTTGAAAGCACAAAAGTCAACCAGACCTACATTCATTTTAGTAATATTCCTTATTCTTCAGGGGTACAGGTTTTACACTTTCTACAATATGCAATACTGATTTATCAATACATATTGATTCTGAGTATTTGAAATGGTTTCAATACTCATTTTCCACAGTGTTGATACTACTTTCTTGCCTTCTCTTTTCCCTGGCAGCGAGCTGAAACACACACCGCTACAGTGCCCCCATAGCCCTGCCTCCTCTTGCTCAGTCACTGTGCTGTCTTCTCGTCACTTGTCTCATTCGTCTTTATTTATACAACACCTTTCATGCACAGAATGCAGCACACAGTGGTTTACAATTCAGCGGTAGAGACAAACGGCAAAGAAATAAAACCATACAATTACAGACATTTATTTAAGGAGAAAGAAGAAGAAGAAAAATAAATATAAAAGATAAATAAATAGAAAATATATATATAAAAAAGATGAATTAATTAAGCAAATAATAATTAAAAAAATACATATTAAGAATATTAAAACAGATAGCTGCTGGTTATAGGCTATATTAAAGAGATATGCTTTAAATCGTCATTTAAAATTGTCCACTAATCCAGCAAGTCTAATATTTAAAGGTAGGGTGTTCCATATTTTTTGGGGCGTAGTCGCTAAAAGAAGCATCCCCAAAAGTTTTTGTAGTGACATTAGGAACTGTTAAAAGAGCAGCTGCAGAGGATCTCAGGGTTCGAGGGGGCGATGCCATTAAGAGAACGATTTTAAAATTAATTCTAAAAGACACTGGGAGCCAGTGTAGGATACAGATAACGGGAGTTATATGATGTCTCTTTTTAGTTGTAGTTAAAACCCTGGCAGCAGCATTCTGAATGGTCTGTAATTTTGCAATGGCACTTTTAGGTAGGCCAGTGTACAGGGCGTTACAGTAATCAAAACGACCGGAAACAAAAGCTTCTCAGCATCTTGCTGGCTCAGCAGAGGTCGTACCTTAGCTACATTATGTAAATATGTAAAGAATCTAAAATGACACAGAGGTTTTGTGTCTGTGTTTTCATTCATGTATAAAAGTTTTCATTATTGTTCATGCTAACTTCAGTTATTCTGTTGTTCTCTACTACAAACCAAGAAAAATTATTGTCATGTTCTAGTCTGTTATATTTGGCTTTTAGTAAAAAAAAAATTCTTATCCCCTCAATGTTACTTTCCCCTGTAGTATTGAAAATGGTGCCAAAAATATTGATATTTTTCAGGGTATTGCATTAAAGTTAGAAATTTCAGTATTGTGACAGCACAGTTTTAATGATTTAAACCAGTGGTGTAAGATCGTTTAGATGGGCCCCAGTGCGCGCTATTATGGTGTACACATATCATTTTGTCATATGACATTGCATATCTGTATATCACAAAAATATTGTGGCTTTTTGCTATTATTAGGCTGGAATTGAGCCCACGGCCGCTGCGGCAAGGACATTGAGACGCCTGCTCTATCCACTGAGCCACCAGGCGCCCCAAGACATTATTAATTTAACAATTTTAATAGTTTATTTGGAATAAGCATTCAATTCTGTTATAGATGCTAATGACTATTTTACAAAAAAAGAAAAAACAACAACAGCAAAAATTGTTTTAAATTTAATGAGAGTTCCTCTTTGAATACAGGCATATATCCAAGGTGGCAATCACACATAAGGGCCCATTCTCCTTCCAACACATCGTTCGAGGGCCCACTCTCTTTATGGGGCCCCCCAGTTCATGGGTAGTGCAACCACACTACCCAGTCTGGCAGTACTGTTTGAGATGTTAGCAATATGTTTAAGCGTCCATTTATCCCTTATTCATTCAGAAACATCCTCATAATAGTCGCTATTATAATAAACACAACTGACTTCAGTGTTGCAGCCTCCCCTGCTAATCACAAGCCATCTCATAGAGCGCCAGAAACCCCCAGTGGGGACTGAGTGAAAGGAGCCAGACCTCATACAACTGTTTAGCAATGTCTGTATTTATACAACAACAAATTAAACAGCAAAAGAGCAAACAACACACTGATATGATTACAAGTGTAACTAACAGCGCGTGGATAAATAAATAGCTGCGGCTGAGAGCAGCAGTCGCTCAAGTAGATATGTCTCGCTGCAGACATTTTGACTTGTCATGACAGGAGAAGCACAGGTGTAATTAATAACTCTAATGATGGCTGTGTGGTGAGGCGGTGAGCGAGCTTGATAGCAAGGCAACTAACTGTAATTCAGACATTTCTAATAAGGTTCGTTGCACCTGTGCTTTTCCTTCTATGACATTTAGTTCAATTAAATTTTATTAATAAAGCCCAATATCACAAATGACAGTCTGCCTTAGAGGGCTTTACTGCAGACGACATCCCTCTGGCCTCCAACTCTCACAGCAGATAAAGAAAAACTCCCCCAAAAAACCCTTTAAAGGGGAACTAATGTTTTTTTCAACCTGGGCCCTATTTTCTGATCTACTTTTGTCTAAATGAGTGATAGGATGTTCAATATTTGACATTTCTCCAGTACGAAGCTAGGGCTGACCTGCCTGCAGCCCGTGAGCGCGCACTATATTAAATAAAAGGGCACTCAGACAGCATCAAACGTCAAAATACATCCACTAGAAGTGCATTTTTTCCACACAGATAGGCTCGGATTGTTAGTATAATTATCCGACAACATAACGGAAACGAGAAATGAACGTCTGTGTTTACCTTTAGCTGGATTCGGACATGTTCCTCTGCCTGTTGCTGCTCCCTCTCTCTCCTCATGCGCTCTTCAGTTTCAATGAGCTCTGCATCCGTGTTCAAATAAATATGGGCGGTCATAAAATTCAAATGGCTCATCCAGATCGGGTTGGTCAAAGTTGGGCAAAAATTCGGACATGTTTGTTGTGGCAAGTCAAAACACTCAGAGAGTGAAAGTCTGGCTCTGAAATCTCACGTCTCGCGAGATTTGAGTTGTTGCAGGAAGTTACCGCTGGAGTGACCTTACAAACGCGAGGAATTACTCTGTTTGGAGTAGTCATGGCTGAATTTTTACCCAATTTTGACCAACTGGACACTAGCCATGTTTCCATCAGCCTGTTTAGATGCGCATCTATAAGTATCGGATCAGAAAATTCTGATGGAAACACCAAAATTCGAATTAAAATCCCCTGATTTGCACTAACTAAAATATGCTCGCTTTAGCTGGGTTTTGGTTGATTCAACAAAATGTTGATTCGCAAAACGGGGGATGGAAACAGTTATGTTCGAATTAAGTCTGACATAGCGCACCTCTCTCCATGGTGATATCCATACTCCGGGTCGGGAAGGCGGTAATGCATTTACAAGCTGCTTGCCAACCACCAGAAAACGTAGAAGAAGAAGAAGAAGAAGAAGAATGCGAGACTTGTTTTGTTTCCGGTTCTGCAGAAAACTCGCGCGAGTTCGTAGTTTTCACCAAAGTCCGTACGTTTAATGGAAACACACAGGATTCATATTTCTTTAAATGCGCATTTCCCAATGATTAGAATCACTTTTGGATGGAAACATAGTTACTGTCTGAGTGCCCTTTTATTTAATATAGTACATGCTCATGGGCTGCAGGCAGGTCAGCCCAAGCTTACTGGAGAAATGTCAAATATTGAACATCCTATCACTCATTTAGACAAAAGTAGATCGGAAAATAGGGACCAGGTTGAAAAAAACATTAGTTCCCCTTTAAGGCGGGCAATAGATGTCGTGCGTACAGAACAGATCAACATAATAAATGTACAGTGATTTGTATGACAAAATGCAGTGAAAATCGTGTGTTGATTCATGTATGGCTACGGCCTGGAGTCGTGTTTAAACTTGCAGTTGCAGTCACTGACCTGTGAATACAATCAGCTCCAACAGGAGCTGAAAGTAGCAGCAGCAGCAGCAGCAGCAGCAGCGGTGATTGATGCCTGGAGTCGACCTCTTAAATAGAACCACTCCTTTCAGTGAATTTTAGTGCTCAGGGAGATCAGCCGGCCTCATGTTCCTGCTTAATTCTACACTATTGATGAACCTCAGCTTGTGGCCATTACTCTCCTGTTAATTGTTCATTTCCATCCCCATCCAGATCCTTGGCAACGACTCCTCCTCCGTATTAAAATGTACAGTGGAGTCCACAAATCACACACTTACACTAAATGAGACAGTTACAATATCACCATTAAACCCAGCCTAACAAAATCAAACCAGGCATAACATTCAAACAAACAGAGCAATAGACTGTAAAACAGAAAATAACAATACAGCTCAATTCATTTGCACATCCAAACTACAAAGAATGTTTATTTTCTGCACAGTGTTTGTCTTAAGCCTGCACTTTAGTACAATATAATAATGTAGTTTGTGTGTGGGTAGAATACGATTTCAAAAATGTTTCCTCTGTGCAGTCATGACTGAGATAATGACAATTTAGCCTCTCTGCAACCCCTCACGCTTCCTGTGAATAACTGTTTATTTCAGAAGTGATAATTGTTTAACTGACGTACACTGCCAATTGGCATTTAACATGACTCACACGTGTGTATATATGTACAGTATATTTTAAGTGTGTGTGTGTGTGTGTGTGTGTGTGTGTGTCACAGGATAATACGTGAGCAAGACGTGAATGTCCTTGTTGGTGTGTCTTTGTTCTCTGCAGCTGAACAAATTAACCTTATACAGCAGGGTTAAAAACATTCGTAATTGTTGCCATCATTCTTAATAAATTGCTCATTGCAAGAAACTCTTTAGTGATGCCTGACTAGAGGTAATAACTCTCTCCTCCCCCTTCTTCTTTTTCAGATTTTCCGCCGAGCAGACAAAAACGGTGAGTAAACACAATGTGTTCGGTGATGAATAATTTGTCACAATGCACGCTTGTCGTTTCCCCACATTTTTCTCCACGTTATTATGCCTCAGACTATCTGGGGCGGAGAAATAGAGGATTTGCATGAATGACTCTTCAACTGAGGCTCATTTCCTCCTCATGCACCAACAAGTTTCTCCGCCCAATTAAAAACGATGCTAAGATGCTGGATTATAGCCACGACTGGAAGAATGTGTCACACAAAATAAAGCACCCCTCCGTCAGTGTCGACACAGATGACTGGGTGCTGTTTACAAATGAATGTGAGTCATGTTAACACGGGCTGAGCCAAGTTAATTTTTTTTTTTTAGCAGTGAGTCCCTCATAATATGGCTTTATTAGCGAGTGCTAACAAGGTAACTTGTCATACTCACAAAATTTGTACACACACGTACACCCATGCTGGCAGGTATGCGTTTCAGATTGATTGATATTTAAATATGGCGTCTTTATACACACAGCTAAGTCTGAAGAAGAGCATTAGCTCGGAACATCACTTGTGGATGTGCTAATAAACGGCAGGTAAGGGAACGTCAGTGTGCAGACCTGTCTTCATGTTGTTCATGTCTGCAAACCAATCAGGATGCGGCATGAAATGACACAGAATACACAGGCCAGTGCCAACATTATAAACACCCACACATACTTGCACTGTAGATGCCACAATGTGATGCATATACATGAATTTAATATACATACATCTGACAAATTAAAGGAAAAACCTGAATAAATGAGTGTAAAAACATACAGAGGCATACTGTCGGGAGAGACAAACGTTTGGCACATTTTCCGATGGCAACTATAGACCTCATAACTCCCTAAAGTGGGATTTATGCTTCTGTGTCAAATCAACACCATACCTAGAGCCTACACCGCCTGACATGCACTTCCCCAGAAATATGACTACACATTGCTGCGACGCAGACCTCCTGTCTGTATTTGTAAGCTGAAACCATTTCCCTCAGTGGAAACAAAGTTTTAATTTACTCTAATTTCACAGATGAGAAACAATAAACTGCGAAGACAATAAATCCTCAACAAAATGGCATTTTAAGTCTTGTGTTTGATTTATCCTGGCTTCATATGAGTAGAGGAGATCTCCGCTAGTTAGCTAGGCTAATTTCTACAATGTAAAATGCCATAGGCTTGTGCTAATAATGCTAGTATGTTGTATTTGTTTGGAAAATGTGTTTAGTATAAGACAGTTGTTTTGTCGGTGAACCTTGTGAGTTGTAATGGAGTCGAATCTTAAATTTTGCTGTTGTCCCTGAGTTCATATGAGTGGAGGAAATGTCCTCTAGTTGCTAGGCTAATTTATACAATGTAAAATGTCATAGGCTTGTGCTAAAAACATTAGCATGTTGTATTTGTGAGGGAAATGTTTCCAGATAAAGATAAGTGTTTGTCTGTGAGTTATAGTGAAGCTGATTTGTGTACTTGTGTTTGAAACTGTCTCTATTGAGCCATGTTTAATGTGTGTTTGATGTGTATTTTGAATCAATTAAACTTTACAGCACTTCACAGAAATCCCACCACCAACCAGGTGACACAGACACACCACAGCACAAGTATAAATGCTCACAACAGCATACTGTAGGCCATGTGTGTAGGTGGTCCATGTCATTGGTTCGACATCCCATTAGTCCGACTGTCCGCGGTGCTGAACGGCTCGCGGCTGGTGTATGGTGCGCCGCGACCGGCTTGAGGCGGAGCAGGCTCACGGCTTATGTGTTTGTCACTTTCTTTTTCATTTTAACCCACACCATGATCTTTTCCTGACCCTAACCAAGTGGTTTTTGTGCCTAAACCTAACCAGACCTTAACCACAGGGCATCATGATGATTTCGGAACGGACTTCGGAACAATGGGTTTAATATGGTCGGAACAATGGGCTGTCAGACCAATGGGCAGTTCCCATGTGTAGGCTACGGTGTAGGCTCTGCATGGAGCTGATGCACAAGTAAAAACCCCTTCTGGCTACCGTATGACAGCCAGATAAAGTTAGTTAGGACAGTCAGCCAGCCACCTGTAACTGTCATACATGTAATGTTAGTTGTAGCAATCAATGCAATGAAACGGGGCCTTGATGGGCTTCTATCCCTGGGGCCCCCCCAGAGTTTAGGATCACCACTGAAAACAAAACAAATGCAAATGCTTCCACACAAGTGCACAACTAATAAATTATCATCCAAACATGCTTTGTGACTTGTATAAAAATGCTGAGCCGGCCTCAGTTCTGATTTTGTCACACGATGTCGAGAGAAAAAGATCTAAGTGACTTTGAAAAAGGGTTCATTGTAGGGGCACGGATGGCAGGAGCTTTAGTGTCAAAGACTGCTCAGCTGGCTAGTATTTCAATAGGAATAGTGAAGTGACATCTGCATTTAGATCTATGGGAAAGACATCAGCAAACGGATACTGTGTCCGACAGTGCACATTTGATGACCTCGATGCTCGTGCATTCGTGCAATATATAGCAGAAAAGCAACTCTTCCTCAGGTGACAGAAAATGTCAGTGTAGGACGTGATCAGACTGTTTCAGCGACAATAGTCTGTCGACATTTACATAGAGAGAGGAGAGTATAGGAGGGCTGCAGCGCATATACCCCTCATTACAAAGATGAATGTATATTTGAGACTTCAATGGTGTAGAAACCATAGGCTACAGAGATGTGGAAAATGTGATATGGTCATATGAGTCATTCTTCACCATATTCTCTACAGATGGAGAAATGCATGTGTGGCGTATAACAAGGAAATGGTACAGGCCTGAATGCTTGACCCCTACAGTGGGGGGATCCAGTGGCTCCAGCTTTACTAGAATGGTTTCAGTCCAATTGTACCCTTAGAGGGAAGCGTGATCACCTTCATCCTATCATGGTACAGTTCCATCCTGATGGGAGTGATCTCCTCCAGGATGACAATGCCCCCATCCAAAGGGCAGGAGAGGTCACTGAGTGTTTTGATGAGTGTAAAACCAATGTGAGTTATACGCTGTGGCCTTGCACTCACCCAATCTCAATCCAGTTAGACACCTATGGGAGATTTTGGACAGACATTAGACAGCACTCCATCATCAAAACACCAAATGAGGCAATCTCCTATGGCCTTATGGGTGCTTTAGGTTTGTACGTTACGGTGATCAAACCGTAGAAGCATCACAAGGGATCAAAGAGGGTTTGTTGAAGTTGTGATTTATCTCAGTACCCCGTGGATACTCTGGCAGCTTCTATATATCACCAGTGTGCGATGTAAAACTCATTCCGGGAGATGTATTGTGATTAAATTGCTTTTTTGTGGTACCCACGTTTCCTCGAGCTGCCTCATCTAATTTCACTTGACTGACTGTCTCGCCTGTGCAGATTTAAAGAAGCCGCAGGAAAGTGACTGAACTTGTTCCACTCAGCCGTAGGTTATGCAGCATGTGCTGGTGGATTCATAGTAAATCTCAAAAAAGTTCTTCTCTTAAAATGGAGAGTCTTGTGTGAGGTTGTGTGGTTGTATTTCATCGGTAGTAAGAGAGAAATGTCAGTGTTTAGGATTAGGCAGGGTCTCAGTGCTGGCCTGGTGTAAGCGGTACAAAATTTAAAGTGTAACTTGTAGAATAAAGTGATTTTGATGAAATATGACTATTTTAAGCTGAGATTTAGTATCGTTTCCTGACAGAAGCGTTTGTTGCCCATGATGTGTTCAAGGACCATGGGAAATTTGCCAATCAAGACAATATTTTCACTCTTTAATCGTTTCTGGTTATGATAAATGTTGAGATTTTGCCGATTTTTGGGGTAAAAACATGTCTTTAAACCCACAGGTGGGTTGAGGGTTCAGAGTTTAAATTCAATACAAAATACAACCATTTAAAGTTGTATGTCCCTCCCCTAAGCCAAAATAAAAATCATAAGCCCCTCCCCGGTACTTAAAAAATTATTTGACATACAGCCCCTGTTTTGCACCACCCCTTCCCCCCTTATAAATAAAAACAGTTCCTTATGCTGCTGTCTTTTTTGGTTCATTTTAACACATTCTCACTCCCAAATCATCACATATCACAATGTGGTCCGTGGGCTTTCATGTCTACATATTACACGCTAGGTATCTGGGTGCGCCTGTTGGTGACGTTTTGGGATGGTGCATCAATTTGTGTCTGTTTATGCATTGTGTGTTTTCAAAATACACTTCCCTTCTCACGGAAATGTACAGTATCTGCTGGTTAGATGGATACTTTTTCAAAAATAAACTTACAATGCTGGCAAAACACCTCATATGTGTTAGATTATTTCATTGTGCGACAAATGCACATGGCTAAGTGAAAGTGAAAGTCTGGTGTTGTTTGACCTATTCACCATCCCTCCCGCCTGCCCTTAAGGTGCTTTCCGGTTACTGGTTGCACAAAACACCAGGACCCGTATTCACAAAGATTCTCAGAGTCCTCTCAGAGAGCTCCTAACTTAGCCTAAAAATTCCTAGCAAGGAATCTTAGCTTAAGAGTGATTCAGAAAGTTTCTGAGAGCAACTCTGAGCAAGGAGGGGACAGAAACTTTTATCTTAGTGAGGAGGTGTGGTTGACCCCGTTGCTAGGTATGACGCAGTCTTCTAAAAGCTGTGATTGGTTGTTACAAAAAAAAACCTTCCTAGTAATGAATGGACAGTGAAATCAACCATCATAGAACTTAGACTGTATTAAGAAATGTGTAATCGTGAAAATAATTTTATGTCATGATGATGAAACTCAGCAAAATTAAATTAATTGTTACACAGCTTCAAAATGTTTGAACGTACCTCATTCACATGCCGATTATTTCAGCCTATTGATTTGCTTATTGTTATGTTTACTCGCCATGCTGGTAATTTTACTACTTAATCTATTTGATATTAATGGTGGACGCAGACTCAGCTGTCAGCAATTACTGTGATTGCTGGCCTCCTTGTAAAAAGTGGTGTGATTTGGCAGAATGACCAAA